TACAGACTTACCAGACTTAGTACAGTGACTAAGAGAATACTACTTTAAGAATATTCCAAATGACTACTTTAAGGCCAAACTATTACTTCTAAAAAATGTAGAAAAAGTACAGACCCTAGACATCTTTACTTTTCCAATTCAAGAAAATGCAATTGCAAAACATTTTGTTGAACAAATCTCCTTGGTTTACAAATTCTCATTTCTACTCTTACCAAACATCATGACAGCAAACCCTACTAATAAACCCTAGTTACCTGATGACCTACAACAGATTAATAATTACAACATTACCATTCCTATAACCTTGAGAAAACAGCTAATAGATATAGCAAGAATGCTTAGAAAAAATTACTACTTCTATCAAATTTCAGAGACCTAGATATAGATAGAAGAACCTATTGACAAAACTAATAGAGAAAACATAGCATCCAATACTAAACAACAATCTAACAAACCCATCATTCCCAATACTTTATTAGCAATTATGGAATATCTAAAAACAAAAAACATAAAAGAAACACCTATAGCAATCCCTATAACAGAACAAGCAAAAGTAAACAAACCTCTTAAATTTCTGCATTAACACTTTACTATTGAAACTATTTTAGATAAGATTCTTTTACTACTACCACTTCTAGTCTCTAACTAGGATAGTTTTAAAACTATTTCTTCCTAATGACAGAACATGACTTAACACATCTATCAATAGCAATAAAACTGCTATAATTATCTAACAATCAGAAGAACAATCAAATGAACTAAACCTAATTGAATTTAATTTAAATGAAAAAATTAACATAGTCACTTATAATGTTAGAGAAATTAATGATATATTGAAATGCAAACATAGATTGAATACTGTATAGAATCTAATCTGCATATAATCTCAATTACTGAAACTAAACTAAAGGAATCAACAACAAAATTACTAACTAACTCTTTATACAAAATCTATACTTCAAACTTTATATTATACAAATTAAACTAGCATGAATTCAGTTTGGGAACTGCACTAATGGTCTGTAATTAACTACAACTATATATCCACAAAATTAATACTTTTTTAGGAAAATCAATCTGCATTAACTTTTTCTTTTCTAATAACAATAAGACTCACATCATCATAATTTATATTCTCTCAAACTATTTATCTCTTCTTAAAAATATCTAATCTTAGATACTTACTTGGATTACAGAAGCCAAAGCCAAAAACTGATATTTGATTATATTAGATAACTTCAATACCAACCAACATAGAGATAAATATTTTCTAATCTTTACTGATTTAAATGCTGCAAATTTAACAAGTCTTCTTATCTTTCACAATATCCAAACACCTACCTGGCATAGTTCAACTAATACAAGTCAAATAGATAATATCTAGACTTTTTCTAATATATTAAGGTGCTATAGTGCACCAGAAGATATAATACACCTCTTAACTTGCTTTTGGAACCATACAAGTCTTGCAATCTTAATAAAAGATATAGTGCAAAAAACATCAAATAACTTGAAAATACCATATTATAAAATACATAGATTTACTCAAGCCTTTATTTCAAACCATATCAATAAGCACATACCTTTGGGATTAATAACTACCAAAACACTGACATCTTTTGAAAACAACAAACAAAAAAATAAATATGCTCCTCTTATATATCACAACATTATTATTACAATATATAAAGAGCTTTGGCTTATCTTGAGAGCAGTGCAACATAATTTAGTTTTTTCAAATCCATTACCTCTACAGCCTCAAACATTAGCTAAAACCAAACTAACTCCAATATTAGTATTAAATAAAAAAAATACAATACTTTATTACTAATGAACAATCTTCTCTTTATCACCTTATCAAAGACTAGAGGTTTACCAATTATTCTAGCAAAGAATAGGTTGAGAGTAAAGTAGCTCTTACCTCTATTCTTTTAGTTTAGTTTCTTTAATATGTATCTTATATATATAATTTGACTAATTAATAAAGACATAGAGAATAAACCTCTTTTTAAAAAAAAAAAAAAAAAAATTTATATTTTTAAAAAAAAATTTTTTTTTATTATTTAGTATTGTATAAAAATAATTTTTTAGTTTTATATAATTATTGTTATTTAATTTTTAAAATAATTTATAAATATATAAAATATAAAAATATAAAAATATAAAATATAGAGATGTGACAACCTAGTAAAGTAGTCAGGTTGTCAACCCTTCAAGTGGTAAATTGGGTGTTCAAATCCTATTAATGATAAAAATTTGAATAATTATCTATATAATATTTGTATTATAGCAACTGTTACTAATAATTGGGTTAGGATACTTATAATAGTAGTTGCACCAGCATAACTGGCAAGTCATGGAGCATCTGTGCAATGTTGGAATTATATAGAGAAATGCAACCTGACAAATCAGATAGTGCAAATACTAGATAAGTCCTTGTGGCTATATAAATCTATTGAAATTGAGTAACAAGAAGTTCATTTAAAAAAACTTAAGTAGAGAGATAGCTGGATCTTTGACAATATTACTGTAAAGACTAGCTTGGAAAAATGGATACCTAGGTCTTAGTAACCAGATAAGCAAAAATCTCCAAGTTGGGGTCTCAGAGATATCACCAACTAGTAGTGGGTTAGTGGTGCCATAAGAAATCGGCAGTCATGTGATGATCGTCATGCATAATCGGATTTCATTGGTCAAAATTTTTTATAATAAAATGATATCGATAATCGAATTTTGTTAAACGTAGATGATAATTAAACGTAGATTATATTATTCATGTAAAATAAATTCATACTATTCTCGCTTAATCACAACTATACCATCAGGTATACTCTACTTTTAAAGTTAAAGTTTGTGCACAATTATTCAGTTGCGCATAAATATAGCTTTATTTTTTTTTAAAACAAGACGAGTAAAATTTTAAAGTATAACTGTTGTGTTAAATTCTATTCATATATAAATATATTTTTTGAAGTATATTTATACTCTTTAATTTAACCAAAACGCTAGTTTTCGATTTTTGGGTGGTCTCCAAGTTGGCTGTTGCATTCTGGCGTTTAGAGCTTCGTTACAGGCTAAAGTTTCTTCGATTAAATTTTTTTTAAGCTTTTTATATTCGTTATAGAAGTTGTCATTATCGATATTTTGTTCAACAATTAACACTAAGGATTCAAAAGTTTTTTTATCTAAAGCTAATTCAGCCTTCCGCTCTTCAATAATATTATATTGGGAGTATGTAATTGACCTATTTTTATCAGATATTTCAGGTATATTAGTTGATTCGTTTAAAAGGTTTTGTGAAGAATTATTCCAAGGATTATTAACTGAATTAATTCTTGGAATTTTATCTTTCCCAAAGTAGATTAAAGGATAATCATGCCGCCGAATTGTGTTTAGAAATTGTGGAAAAAAATTTGGATTATTTGTAATATAGGTTTGTATTAAGTGTTTACATATAAAATATGGATTATTTATGAAAGCCAGACAAGAACAAATCCATTTATTAGCTTCTACATGATAATTTTCTAGAAATTCGATATCCTTTTCAAGACCTATTTTCCAACTACTCTTAAAGCTTTCCCACCAAGATGGAACCTCACGCTTATTATTATTATACCTTTCCCAGGTATTTATCATATCTGGGATTAATTGTTTTGTTATGATATAGCTTAAATGGTCAAGCCGGGGCCTGTTATAGTTATATTTGTAGTTATGTTTAAGGGCCTGCCAATGAGATTCAATTATCATTGTAGTTCTTGCTATAGGAATGGCTTTTGGATAAAACGATCGGGCAAGAAATTTCTAATTTTTTTTTTCATACCAGTTTACCCATAAATAGGCCCAAAGGCTATTAAGATTTTTATGCTGGCAATATTGATAAACTTCTAAGACGCTTTGATAATATATTTCATTAGAGGTAAGGAAAATATTTATGTTAACTGGTATTAATGGATGAAGTAACGAATGTCTTTTTATCATATTTTTAATGTCTTTCGCATTTTCTGCAGAACATATCGGACTTTGCCGTCCTGTAAGAAGCCAATTGGGATCAATAAAGGTAAATTGGTTATTGGCCTCTTTTGCTTTTTGAACAGAATAATTAGACATTTTATGATTTTTTTCTTTTATTTTTCGATCAATGGCACGTTCAACGTGCCAAAGACATAGCTGAATTTTTACTTTTTGGGACCAGGCTTCCTCTACAGCTGCGATTTGTCCCATATCTTTATCAAGAAGAATAAAAGAAGGTAAGATACCTTCTTCTCTAACAAGCCGAAAAAATTCAGTAAGCGCTTGGGTTCTATTATTAATATTATTTATAGGGTCTTGTAGACGATCTTCCGATGCGATGAATGTATCAAGATATAGATAAGAAAGTGGCATTCCAAATCCTCCGCAATTTATTATTAAGGCAAATAATTCAAATTTTTCTTTGTTAGTTTTAAAGGTAGAATCCAGAATTAGTTCACTAATATTTTCTTTTAAAATTATATTTATGAATGGTGTAATGAATCCAAGCACTCTAACAAAGTCATTTTCAATATGAAAAATTAATTTAAAACCCTCATTGACTAATTCCTGTCGTTCTATATAGTTTTTTGTTGAGATAACTTGGTTTTTTATATTGGATACATATTGTCCAGCAGAAAATTTAGACACCCAATAATATACTTGATGATAAGTATGGATTGTTGGGTCTATAAGCTTTTCACTAGAAAGCCTTTTATAAATTTCGATTACACGAAGACCACAATTTAGATTTAGTTTAATCCAGGAAATTGCGTTATGAGGCAATTTAATTTTACTTTCACGGTAGGTTGGATGCTCGTGTGGTATTAAATGTGTAACTGATAATGTAACTTGTTTCAAGGGAATATTAATTTTTATTATAACATTTCCGCTACAAGGAAATCGATTAATGGCTGGCCGTATCTCACTAATTCTCTTAATAGATTGGCTATCAGAACGTTTATGTTGGTGCTCAATCGTTTGTGAACAAATCAAATACGCAGTGGCACATCCGTAAGGTTGATTATTTTTTTATTAATATAAAAATTTTTTAATTCCCAATAGTATCGAGACCTGGCCTTGATTAAGATTAGTATTGTGTTTATGATAAAACGAAAACTTTGCCCACCATCACCTTGACTACTATCATCATTCGGGCCAGTTTCATTTAATAATGTCTCTTCAATAAATTTATTGCTTAATTCAATTATAGCTGAAAACTCAACATGTTCATTGTTTGAAAAATGTGTAGATACAAGTTCTTCAAGGTCTTCTAGTTCGTAGATAAGGTCTTCATTATCATCTTCAATCGTTGTTAATAGACTGGAGTCAAGGTTACTTTCAGGTTGTAAATAACTTGAATTATCTTTTTGCATCATATCTTTATTAATTGAACTTTTACTTGTTGAGTTTTGTTTCTTTTGTTCAGAACAGCGATTGCAGTTTGCGAATAGACCTTTCCTTGTACCATGAACCCTCATGAATTCTTGGATTGGTTTTAATACTCCACAACGTGAGCATTCTTTCATTTCATGAGAGTTTACTAAAATGCATTTTATAAATTAAGATTAATTATTTAATATTAATAATTTATAGGTTAAATACAGGTCACTCTGCTTATATTGACATCTCAAAAAAATCAAGAAATTTTCCGATATATCCTAACCGGAGGCATTTTCATATTAAGTTATAAGTTTAAATTTTTAAAAATATCATTATAGTCAGATATCGGTATATCCAGATGTTGATATAACCAGAGTGACGTGTATTCATTTAAAACTAACCATCAATATTATTATTCGATTGATCTATTATGTTGTTTATAGATAAATAAGAAAAGTAAGAGTTTTTTTTTGAATTGATACTATCGCACCAGGCGAATCTTAAGAGATAAGTAGTTTAATTTGGTATTATTTTATATTATTAAATATTGTTTTTGAGACTCAAATTCTAACATCATTAAAGGCCGAAATCGATTGCTTATATATATTTCGCTTGAACATTAGTTTTTGTTATATAATATGACTCTGAATCCTTAATATTTAATACTAGAACTATTTATCAAACATTTTCCTATTCGATCATCTATATAATTATTAAATTGCAAGACGAAATAATAATGCGCATTATTAGATAGGAAGCTTTACAAAACATTATTTAAAAACTTATAATTTAAAAGCATTATTTTTGAAAGTCGTTAATTTTTATAATACAGTAAACTTTATACGTTTACTAATAAATTCTATACGTATGCTGTTACATTTTTCAATTGATATATAATATTTTTATGTGTCTGTGTTAACTTTATTTACTACAAACATGTTATATTTTTTGATAAATTTAATGTGCTAAAAAGCTATTACAGTATTTTTTTTCTACATATTCGTTTTAAATGCATATCATAATTATTTCTATATGCGTGTTTCGTTTATTATATATTTATCAAACATCGACTGTTCTTATACGTAATTAGCAATTGACAAACCTTTAAAACCTTACTTAATAAAGCTAGCATTAATAAATTTTTTTTTTTTGATAGATGTTAGTAAAGTAAGTACATATGAAACTTAAAGTTTGGTACTGTAGGTAATCGTATTCTTTAGCATGTTACTATCCTTTTTGACTTATAAATATTACTGAAACATAAAAATTATTGATGCGAATGATAATTTTGTCTTTTTTTTACATAACTATTAAGTTTATACTGTTATGTATGTGCTATTTAGTTTATTTTTTTGTTGAGATGATTTATCTTACATTGAACGAAGCAGTTGGCTATAAATGTATTGATTCTTTTTTTATGTTGACTATTTACACACTTTCAAATTAAACCTTTTCAAACCCGTTAATCAAAAAAATAAATGTTACAACATTTATATACGAATTTTTTTTGAATATTAAGTGTCATTTTTGTTACGTTTACTGAAGATTGATTTAGTTATCGTTGGAGAACCTTACCAGTTACGGGGAATTTGTCTAATAAAGATTTCGACCAATGAAATCCGATTATGCATGACGATCATCACATGACTGCCGATTTCTTATGGCACCACTAACCCACTAACCAACTAGGCTACTAGAATAAACCAGAGAAAAGGAATATTGGGCTAATTTGATATACTAATAGACTGGTCATAGTCCTATATGGGCTATCCAAATTGGAAGTCTGATGAAATTTAGGGGTATACTAAAGTATCAGAATTATGCTGTAAAGTAGATGCTAGGGTCTAAGTGAACTTTACAAAGATATGGCAGTTTAATGATTAAGCTCTAACTGCAAGTGTTAGTTCTGCTATAGTGATAATTAGGTTAGTTATAAAAATAGGTACAGAAGACTTTAGGAGGTTTACCTTAAGAATAAATTAGTCCTAAGATTAAGACTTTGATCTGGGCATCTGGATATAACCTAGTAAGTTAATACAAATTATAGGTTCAAATAATTTAAAGTAAAACATCTAAGCAGAGATGTTAGGTATAGCAATTAGTAAGAAACCTTTAAGCAGACTCCTTAAATAAGTAATATAGAAAAGTTACATATGTAGCCAATTGTATGCTCTTCTGTAGTGGTTCATTGAACTATAATACTAATAAATAATTAATAAAAGCCAAAAGCCAAAAAGGTTATCTTAAAAATATATATATATATATATATATATATATAAAATATAAAAAATATAAAATATAAAATATATAAAATATAAAAAATATAAAATATAAAAAATATAAAGAAAAAAGCTTGATTTAACAAACTAAAAAAAACTTTTATAATATAGTATATAAAAATAAAAATTTAAAGTTAAATATAATAAGAATTACCATCACATCTTTTTCTGTACAGATACTAACTGCATCTACTTAAATGAAGCAGAATGATCAAAAAAAAGAAAAGAAGTTAAACCTAACAACTTTGAAGAACAACCTCAATACTATGAACACTCTTTTCAACTTCTCAAAAGCATTTTTCAAAAATCCTATATTAACTTTCCTAAACAAGAAAATGAAATCTGGCAACAACCTAAACTCAACTCCTTCTTATTCTATAAAAACAGCAAATATGAAGCATCTTTTAACAAACAAATTCTAACTTTATTACTTGATAAACTTGCAAGTGATGCAGAAAACTCTGTTTGCAAAGCTAATAATGTTCCAACTAACACTAAATGTTGCAACTATTATTTCTATCTATATTTAAACTTCTATTAAAATGTCACAGCCTAAAATCACAATATAGACAAGCTTAACAAGCAACAAGCAATCAATTTTCTGACAACTAAACCTATTAGCACTGAATTCCTTGCAAGAATTTTAACTTTCTATCACTCCTGTGATAAAACACTTACTTATCTTCAAATTACAAACTACTTCCAAGAAACTGCCTATTCTGAGGCAAACAAAATTATACAAGAAAAATTCTAAATAAAATATGAAACACTACACCTAATTACAGAGTCTCTTTTTATTGAAGAGACTCTTTTTCAATAAACTTGTTTTCTACAATCTTTATAAATGCAGCCATCACCTTACCAAAAGATATATCCCTAGTAGTTAGTAAGAAAAATGATGTAAGTAGGCAGATGGTAAAGCTCATTTACATGAAGAGCCAAGTTAATGATGGTCAGACCCAATATACAGAGCAGACTATGGTACCCTCCACAGCTGTGCAAGCCGAGCTTCAAATAGTGAATAACCCTGTAGAAAACAATCCAACTTTTCATGTTCCTGTTTCCAACACTTCACTTCTTGCAGGAACAAATACATGTTATAACAAATTTCTATTACTATACAACCTATCTATCATATATCACTATATAACATTTGGCAAATTTCTATTCTATCTTTGAAAACATTCCTTCAAACATAGCTTTAATATATTTATTAATCATAACAAAACTGAGCTACACATATATACTAACCCTTCAGATTTCATTCTGCCTGAACATAATCTTATCTAATCTTTTCAATATGAACTATACAAGCACTTATCTTTACTAACAACACTAAACAATACCTCATCTAACACCTACCCATCTTCACTTGATCAACTGTTTCTTGCTAACTTATCTTCAGCATCACTATCTACTAATTTACCATTTACCTCTGCATCTAATCATACAGTTTCTTGGTCTGAGACCATCTTTGAACCTACATCTTCCAATCTAATAGCCCACATACCTACATCTAACTCATACAAACCACTTCATCTGTCAATATGTATACATAATACATGAGGATATAATGATAATCTAAAACAACAAACATGGAAGGATTACTGTATATCTCATGACATTAGCATTGCTAGCATTACAGAAACTAAAATCTTACAGAACAATGCATATGTTAAATTTTCTAGATCTCAACACTTTACTTATTATTGATCATGTACTGATAATTGTAAAGCTGAAACAGCAATTATGATCCAAAAACATCTCAAACTACATGTTTATAAAACATTTAACTTTCTTGGATATGCTATCACAATTGACCTCTTCTTTAAACATGACTTTAAATTCCATATTATATCAGTTTATCTACCTTGTGATGACCTTTAACTTAGACTTCTTATTCAAAACAATATTATACAATGGATTCAAGAAGCAAATACAAACAATATACAA